CCCCATCTGAGTGCCGCCCACCCCCACACACCCTCCCCCGCACCTCCCCACTTCCCTGACTGCGGCTTGCAGACTGGTTGCCCCTGGGCCCTGGCCGCCTGCATGTTGAGCTCTCCTCAGAGCATCTCCTGGTGTGGCTGAGGTGGGACTGTCCAGGATCAGATTCTCAGACTCCAGGGCTACCAACCCAAGTCCTCCGGGCAGTTTCTAACCTCTGCGCCATTCTCTGCAGTTGCCCACAGCCCCTGCCTGCCCACCCTGGACTCGCCTTTGTTCTCCTGCTTCAGGTCCTCTTGCAGAAGGTCTATTTGCCGGTTGCCCAGCACGAAGGCGAGGAAGGAGAGGATGAGGGCGTTGAGGATGCCGATGATGGCCAGGATGTACGCCCAGCGCACTGAACAGTCCCCCAGGGAGTACTTCCCAGTCTTGGCCCCACACATGTCCCGGATCGTCTCGGCGTCCCAGCCGTCGGGGAAGATCATGCAGCCCAGGACCAGGCATAGGGCTGTGCAGGAGAGCGACCATGCAGCCAGGAAGGAAGAGAGAAGGATCGTTACTCCTGATACCAGCTACCAGCAGATCCTAGGGGCAGGCATGGGCCGGAGGGCCGAGGGCTGGACCCCGCCTCCTGCCTGGGGGAGAGAAACTTTTTGGAACCCTCCATTGGGTCACCTTGTCCTGGGAGCCATTCTACCTAATTTGGGGTAAAGTATGACATAGCTATCTAAGGCCCAATGCCCCTTGCCCTTGAGCTGACTGTGGCACGTGGAAACATAACTCTGTTTGCCTCCGGTCATAGCAGAGGCCTCAGTGGTCCGGTGGTGCTGTGGTGCTCAAGGGCAAGATGCATCAGAGGCAGACATCCTGGTTCTTCGAGAACCAAGTAGTAACAAAGCAGAAAGGTTTCACATGGGGAGGGACAGCTTCCTTATCAGCTCAACTCATCCCACCTACTGTTGTAAGAAGGCTCTCCTCACAGCCCTCGTCAACCTCCAAGCCTCAGCAACCTAAGACCCTTAGCAGCATGGGATTGCAGCTGTCCCCTGGGTCACGTGATGCTCCCTCCACTTATTGTGCACACCCAATAAGCGACAGCCAGCTCCTAGAGTCCCTGTCTTTGCCCCCTCTGAGGCACTTTCCCAGAGGCCCCCCTGGCCCCCCCACCCCACTGTGTACTTTGAAACTGTACAAGTCTCTGTCACCTTTCTTTAGCCCTCCTTGTCCCGCTCTCTAGGCAGATTTATAGGCCTTCCGATATCACCTGTTCCTCTCCTCTGTGAGCCTCTTTCTTGGAGGTTTTGGGGAAACATGGGGAACTATAAATCAGAGCAGCTCCCTCTGACATCCTGGCTTCTCTTAGTTCTTAGCCTCTCCCCTCCTCAACATTTATTCATTTTGGGGTTCTGGAGAGGCGTTTGGTTTGGTTTTGGCATTCACTCAGTAACTGCTTATTGGGCACCATTTCCTTTTTATTCCGGAAGCTGGAAATAACTTTGCTATTGGTGCAGCTGGACCCTGGCTGGGGGAGCAGCCAGTGAGGACAGAGCACAGGGCTTCACCTCCTCCTTCCTCTCTGGCTCTGGCTGCACAGCTGGCTGGGGTGCACGTGGCTGGACTGGGCCTGCTCTGTCTGTGCTGGAGACCAGGGGGCTCTGCCCAGGCCCAGCTCTCCCTCAGAAATAGGTTTGAGGCCCACTGAGTGGCACACTGGACCAGCCACACACTAGTACATTGTGCACAGGGACCTGGCAAGGCCACTGGGCTGAGGTACATTCTGGCACAATGGTTAGGAGGGCTGGGGCCACTTTTGTTCCTCGGCGATTTGCTAGAAGGGTGACTCTGTGTGAATCCCTTCATCTCTGTCTCATAACATGGGTCATCAGGTGTCTGTAAGGATTTCAGAGGCTGACGAAATAAAGGGCTTCACCAGAAGTCTAGGGTAAATGTTAGCTCTGTCAAACCGGTCATGGCCATAAATATGAACTATACAAATAAAAAAGTACCGAGGAAGCTGCCTTCAGGCAGGGCAGAGAAGGAACCCCCTCTTCCGGCTTCACCTTAGCCCATCAGCCCATTGCATTTCTCTGGTAACTGTGATTGGCTCCCAAAGGGGCTCATGCTGCCCACAAGACAAACACAGCCAGGAGACTCAGGCACCTGGAGGCTAGAGGTCTGCAGACTGTGACTTCCCAGCTGCTGGATGTGGCCTCCATTCAGACCAGCCCCTGGGCGATGAGGTTAAGACCCAAAGTCCACGAGAATCTGGAGCTATGGGGCCCTGACCCCATGACAGCCCAGGGCTTCACCTGGGTTGTTGGTGACAGCAATGGGACCAGAAGATGGGACAGAGGCAGAAGAGCACAAGCGTGGCATGCACACACACACACACACACACACACACACACACACACCAGTAGGCAACAGTGTTGGGACGCGTGGCATGCACACACACACACACACACACACACACACACACACCAGTAGGCAACAGTGTTGGGTAGTGGCCAGTCCACTGCCCATCTGGGGGGCCCAAGTGGTAACCAGGGTGTGCAGGGGGCCTTGCTTAGCCACCCCTCCCCATCGGCCTGTGGGTCAGCAGGTGCCCCTTCCCCAGGATGCTCCTCCGCAGACTCAAACTCCCAACCCTCTCCATCCTCCCTCCCCCAAGGCAACTAATTCTCCCTCCAGCCCTAAGGACTGGGAACAACACTCCAGACTAGGACCTGAAAATGCAGAGGCCCTGCAGTAAAAAGCAGCTGGGTGTGTTCAAAATTAAACAAGGCTGAAGATGCCCGTTGGACAGCCAAATAGAGAGGAGCTTGAGGGGACAGCTGGAGCTGGAGCTGTAAATGTGGGGGCTTCCCGGGACTGGACCCTCGGCCTGCACTCCAGCTGGAGTCTGCACTTCACAATGCCAGGCTCCACGAACCATGCGGGGGAGGGGCAAGGGCCTCAGCTGCGACTGCACCATTCCCGCCCTCAGTGTCCCCTGGGCTGCCCTCTCTCGGCTGCACGCCTCTGGCTAAAGTAAACAGGGCAGAGCCTGGACAGGATGAACCTCCTCTCTGCCCTCCTCACCATGGGCACCACAGTGATCCCTCTCCCACCACTGTGCCCAGCTTCCTCCTGGAGCATCCCTGTCTCTATGGAAACTGCTTCTGTATCCCAGCACTGTAGCTGCAAGGTTCCCAGATACTGCAGGCAGCCCTCCCCTTTCACAACAGGCACTGAGACCTCCTGAGGCACTCTCCCTCTCCCTCTCCCTCCCCCCTCCTTCTCTCTCTCCCTCTGTCTCTTCCCCTTCCTTACACTGTGCTCAAGTCAGAGCCTAGACTTCCCTTCCCTTTTCAGATCTCTCCCCATTTAACATTCAGTCAGCACCCCAGGATATCTAACAGAAGATATCTAGCAAGGTGCCTAACCTCTACCCCCCCAGATCACGGTGACGCCTTCGCCCTGTCCTGAAGGTCTCCAGACATTGGATTATACCAGTCCTCAGCCACTGTGGTAGGGGCCAGGCATCTCCATCCAGCTCCCCACACCTACTCACTTGTCCTGCTCCTAGTAGACAGGTGATATTATGACAAAATCAAGATGATGGTATGAATGGGCTGGGTGTGGGGGTGCACACATGAAATCCCCAGCACTCAGGAGGCTGAAGCAGGACGATGGTGAGTTTGAGACCAGCTTGGACTACATAGCCAGATCCTATCTCAAAAAAGAAAATATTGAACTGGGGGGGTGTAGCTCAGAGGAATAGTGCTTGCCTAGCATACACAAGGCCCTGGGTTCTACCCAGTGTGCAACAGCAATATTATAATAATATAAATAATATGATACTTCTTTTGGGCAGATGTCTTCAGACAGGGTCTTGTTACGTAGTCCAAGCTGACCTTGAACTCACTATGTAGCCCATAGTGAACTACATGATCTGCCTGCCTCAGCCTCTGGAATGCTAGAATACAAGTGTAAACTACCACACCTGGCTCTGGGGTTAAAAAAAAAAAAGAAAAAGAAAAAAAAAGCATTGAGTTCTTACTCATGTGCCAAGGTGCTAAGCTTCTGAGCCATCATCCCATTTAATTCTATAAAAATATATGAAGTAGGAAAGATATTGCCCTCGTTTTACAGATGAAGAAACTGAGGCCCAGAGGAAAGGACTCAGTGTCTTCTCAAGTGTTACACAGATGCAGCAGTAAGTGGGGGGGGGTCTGTATTCAAGACCAGACACAGATGCAGCAGTAAGTGGGGGGGGGG